GCAGATCTTAAAGCATCATAACCTTCTCTAAAAGCTGCACTATGTATCCACACCCATAGCTGGCGGAAGGGATCACCATTGTTAATGCTCTGTTTTTCATCACACAAGCTCGCTTTGTGGACTTCTCTATTAACAACAATTTGTGTTAGAGGTCGCCACAAGTAGGTGACTGGAGCAATAGTTGTAGAAAAGGGTTTCCCAGCATGATGAAGCTGCCAAATGACTCTCAAAGATCAGATATTCAGCCAATAGCGCAATCTTGCAACATAGAATATGTAAGAATTGGTTAACCACCCACCATAGCACTTCCAAAGATGTTGCCGGAAAGTATGTTATGCAATCTATCTTGGGAGCGTGTTGATGGGGAAGGAACCAACACAGAGCTCAGCACAGACAGCAGCATAACCTGGAAACATGTGTCGCAAGGATCAGGATATTGTAAGAGTCCAATAATTATAAATATCTATGCAAAAATAACTTGCTTTCACTGTCATCAACATTATCATAGAATATATATTAGACCACCGGAAAGATTTCGGAAATGAAAATAATGACAGAGCTTGAATTTAATCATGGGAAAAGAGTAAAAACTAGTTGATGCCTGCCTCTGGACCTTCCAACTGGACAGCTCCGCAATAGCTCATATCATGCACGAGCACTCCACATTTTAATTTCTTTAAGAGAGCCCTTGAGCCTCTTCCTCTACATAACAAAACAATAACTTATTTTTGAGTACGCTGTGAATTGATGGTCTCTTCTTCATTTGAAGAAGAATCTAAAATTTGATCTAAACTTGTGAATCACTAAAACAGATTAGACAGTATATACAAGTACTTGCATTATAACATTCTGTGAATGTGAAGTATTGGCTTAAAAAATAATACAGATATCACATCAATCACATAAAAGAACCTATTCCTTTATTGATAATCTCCGTAAAAGGAGCAATTCGTTACCTGCCATGCAGACCAAGGGGAATGTGGAATCCCCATAGTTTTATCATCTTGAACCGCTTCGCATGCCATACATGCGTTCTCAGTCTCTTCATCCCATCCCCTGAAGTACAAAACCCACTCCCAGGGTTCTTGCTGAGTTCAACCCTCCTTCGGAGTCGACGAGAAACCTTCTTCTCATCTTTCTTGGAAGAATCACTTTTATTCATATCTTTTATTCCAACTCTTTGCTTCTTTCTAAACCTTTTTCTCCCAACATGATCGTCATGCCCAGTAGTTCTCCGACGCTTGTTCCTTTGACAGCGGAAATCATTATTCAAACGATTTGCAACTACAGAGTGAAGACTCTCGAGCTCAGAAGCTCTAGACTCAGCAAATTTCAGCACAACAAGTTTGTGTGGCGGAGCAACTGATGCTTGAGGTTTGCTCCCATCAGTAACCATATTTTGAACACTAACCAAATCAATTTTTCAACAATCTAATACCACTCAGCTACAATGTGGTTGCTCTTATTCTGAAAGCATAAAAGGTATTGGGTGTTAAACAATATTAGAAATGAGTTTAGAGCAACTGGAAATGGAACTACATATACACATGTATAACGATGTTCCAATGTAGAGATTTCAACAAAGTTATCTCAATAGTACACCAAATTACTTTCCAGTGAGAACAGGTTAGCACCTAATTTTTTCTGCACAACAAGTAATTGAAGGCATAGAAATCCATAGAAAAGTACAGATAGATAGGTACGACTAATTAAGAACATACAAATAAGCATTAATGGGATAAAGGGCAGAGGTGAGTGGTAGTCAAATTTGGTAGTCTCCTTGTTGTGGAGACAATTTGATATTCACATACCGGAAATTATGTCGCCTCAATAAAAATAATTTATAAAATAGTTACTTTTGCAGCAAGTAACTCTAACTTACGGCCAAACTAAGCACTTATTTATTTATATTGAATAAATACATTATGTTAGCTAATAAGTGAGACAATTTGATATTCACATACCGGAAAATATGTTGCCTCAATAAAAATAATTTATAAAATAGTTACTTTTGCTGCAAGTAACTCTAACTTACAGCCAAACTAAGCACTTATTTATTTATATTGAATAAATACATTATGTTAGCTAATAAGTAATCTATCACATATGAATGTAGTGAACGAGGGAAATAAGCCAATTTAAAACAGGGGCAGAGCCAGGATTTCGGTCTTGGGAGTAAGAATTAAGAAAAAATATTTTTTTTCCAAACAATACGAAAACACATTAATACTAAAAATAAAAGATTTTTTTTTACAATTGTCACCTACGGGTAAAATGAATAGAATTGGAGCTTTTCGTTGAAGATATCTTTCCATAAATTCTTTGGGATCAAACAAAGCAAACTTAGCAAATTTTATATCTAAATATTTTCTCACAAGTCACAACAACTTCAAACTATAGCAAACTTGGAAATTTCAATTGAAACCATAACTTGGTGCAGCTATAAAGTAAGCAAACATCAAGTTCGAAAGAGCAATGGACAAATAACTGATTAACTGTACTATTAGTCCCCAATTAATTTAATCATCATCATAAATATGTAAATTTAGGGTTGGGAAATTACCAGGGTAGAAGATTTACATCTAAAATTCAAACAAAAAATTGCTCTAGTATTGGATTAAGCTATTGCATCCCAAGTGCTTCATTTAATGATAACTTAAAAAGAAATATTTTTTTTACTCCAAAAACCATCCATTCATATTCTGGTTGGGTTTCAACCCTACAGGTAAAATTTGATATTTTTTTTTGCAATATTAGTTAAAAGTGCAACTAATCTGTACAGAATGCTCCAAGGCTTATTAATTTGCAAATTTAGTAAAACCACAACTAGCTGTAAAACCCAAATTTTACTCCAACAGAAACACAAGTTTATTTTTCCATAATCATATTGTTGAATATTCTTTTATTTGTTGGTTCATTTTTTTAATTTTTTTTCTTTGTTTTCAGATAAGAGGATGAACAAAAAAGGACTGCAATGCAACTGGAAGGGAAGAACAGGAAGAAGATCTTGAGAGAATTAGGGAGGAAAGTGGAAGGCGTAAACAAGCTATACTTGAAAATTACAAAAATAAACAATCATCACAGCCAATTAAGCAATTCGGGGCTTCACCTTCTTCTTCTGCTGTGCAGGTGCTGCCGAAGCCGATGGGATGTGGAATTGCCGACGGCCGCGTCTGCCTAGTGCCTACTGCCGTCTAGGGCTTGAACATGGACGGAGCAGCAACGGGGCGCGATTGGAGGAGATTGAATGGCGGAGGTTGAGACTTGAGAATTTCGGCTCCGGGGAAGAGGAGGCGGAGCGGAGCTGAGGGAGGAGGAGGCGGAGCGGCGGAGCAGAGACGGAAGGAGGAGGCCGAGGCGGAGAGGAGCTGGGAAACATGAGTCGTTGAATTGAAATTGAATTCGAACGATTGGAATGGGCTTTGGGTTGTAATTTGGATGGCAATGGAAGTGGATCTAATGGTATTGGGCCGAATCTGTTGAGCATTGACACAAGGGAAAAATTCATGGTCATGTATTATCTATCATGAAATCAAAAATCAGGCCCCAATGTTTAAAATTGCAAAAATCAAGTTTTTCATGAATTAATTAATTATATTTTACAATTATTATATTAAATTAAATATTTAACTGTAAAATAATATAATTAACCCAACCCACCCCACCTTCACCACCCCCACTACTTCGGCGACTACTCCGGTGGCCGACGACTACTCCGGCGACTACTTTTTGGCCGTACTTAATTCCGGCGACTATTCCGATGACCGTTCGCCCGCCGCCTAATTTATATAACTGCTCCGATTCCGAGGTCACAGATATCTTATTAATGTCACAGTTAGCTTAATTCAGATAACTGCTCCAATTCCGAGGTCACAGTTAATTTCATTAATCACTCATCAAAAACATTATAAGGTTACAGATACCTTATTAAGGTCACGGTTAGCTTAATTCAGATAACTGCTCCGATTCCTAGGTCACGGATATCTTATTAAGGTCACAGTTAACTTAATTCAGATAACTACTTCGATTCTGAGGTCACAACTGTCTTATTAAGGTCACAGTTAACTTCAATAGTGACAAACAATAACAAAAAACGACCACCACCACCACACGAACCGCCACCAAGGATCCATACCAAGTTTATCACCACCCCACAAACACAAACTAACCAGCCACACAAAACACGACAAGATGAAAACTGAACCTGCACTGCCACCGCACCACTCAAAAAAAAAAAAAAGTGGCCAAGCAGCGCCTCAACCGCAACCGCACATCATCGCCCCGCACACACAAAATCTCCACCGCACACCTACAGACCCACAGCAGCGTCGCGTTGCCGTTCACAGCAGCGCGACGCTGCTGTGAATGCAGTACGCACGGAGGGAGAAAGGGGGGGAGGGGGAGAGCACTGCTGTAGATGGAGGGAGAAAGGGGGAAAAATGGGGAAGAGGAGACAACGGAGAAGGGGCCGGAGGGAGAGGAGGAGAAGGGAGGCGTAGGGCACGATAATGAAGGGGGAGGAGACGGGTTCTGTCAATTTAGGGTTTGGGATTTTGTAATTTGGTGTGTGGGGGAGGGGGTAGATAATAGGGTGGGTGTAATTTAATTTTATAATATCATTATTAATCAAAATAATAAAAACCTGAAAATTGAATAAATAAAGTTGAAACCTGATTTTTTAAAATGTCAAACATAATGCATGGTTTTATGTAATTATCCCTTGACACAACCAGAATTTTAGTTGACGAAATTACACAAAACCATAGTTTAGGCATTCACATTTCCAAAATCAGGTTGGAAGTTTCACATTTCCAAAATCAGATATTTTTTATTTTAATTAATATTTTTACACACATCTACCACCGTCAAAACCTTAAAATATAAAAATCATTCCAAATTCCAAACCCTAATCACTCATCTTCTCTCCATCTCCCTCTCTCTCCTCGATCTCACCGGCGCCCGTCGCACCCACCCCCTAATCCCACCAGCGTCACACCACGCCCGGCGCACCCACCCCCTTAATTCCAAACCCAGGCCTCACGCCTCCCCCGCCGGCCACTTCCTCCACCGCGTTGCTTAGTACACCACCGGAATAGGTCACAAAAAGCTCCATTGGCGCCATCTAAAGCTACGATTGGTGGACCCAGTGGGAAGATCACTGATAAAGGCGCGATCGAGCAAGTGGCCAAGTCATTGGAGCTGTCGTTGATGTGAGGTTCGATGAAGGACTTCCGCGCGATCCTGACGGCTTTGGAGGTTTTCGATAACTAGATCAGTTTGGTTCTGGAAGTAGTAATTTTGCTGTGGTGGTGGTAGTGTGCCGTGGGTGGTGCTGTGGTGGTGTTGCACGGAGTTGAAAATGGCGAGTTCGATTAGCAGTGCCGGTTAATGTTGGGTCTGGGTTTTGGGAGATGACGGTCGATTGTTGGTGTGATATTCTACCCTTTGAAGCTGATGGTGGGTGGTTGTTGAGATGGAGGTGGCTCGGAAAGGCAGGGTGTGGTGAGGTTTGGAGTTCTCGTCGAAGTGGGTTGAATTTTGTGGTCGGCCGGTGCGTGTGGGTGGACAGCGCTTGGTGGAACGATTTGTGGAATTCGTCAGTGGATGCAGTGGTTGAGTAGGGTACCGACGGTTGGCTACGCAATTGTAGATGGTGGCGGGATCTAATTTGGATCTGATTTGTTGCTGAAAATGGTGGTGGTGGAGGCGGTGACTGATGGCAGTGGAGATAGAGGTGTTGTGCAGTGGCGATGGTTGTGGTGTATGTGACCAACTATTTAGATTAATTGTGACCTTAAAATTCGACAATTTGTGATTAAAATTAACATGTGACTAATAAATTTGAAATTATGTGATTAAACAAACAATCATGTGTTGCGACTTGTGATATGGGATGTGACTCTTGACTTGTGACCTGAGCTGTGACTTGTGATATGGGATGTGACTCTTGACTTGTGACCTGAGCTGTGACTTATGACATGAGCTGTGACTTGTGACCTGGGTTGTGACAGTAAAAAAAAACATATCAACCGTACAAAAAAATATAACGGAGTTGTCGCCGGAATATTCGCAGGAATTGGAACAACTGCCGGATCGAAGTAGTCGCCGGAAAAAATCGACACTGGAATAGTCGCCGAAATAGTTGCCGGAACGGTCGCCGGAATCGGAATAGTCGCCGGAACGATCGTTGGAAAGTTCGTCGGAGTAGGACGGTGATCGGAACGATCGCCGAAGCGGTAGGGGTGGGGAAGGTAGGATGTGTTAATTATATTATATTAGAATTAAATATTTAATAATAAATTAATTTATTTCATAAATAAAAATTTAAAAATTTTTAATAGAAATCTGATTTTGAAAATTTCAAATTTGTTTTCTTATTTTTGAAATAGGTTAAAC